GAACACTGAGCAAGAGTGTCAAACCCTCCTGGAAAGTGCGTGAGTTACTGCTTCCCCTTCGCGCAGGCCACCACATCGACAGCCAGACTGAATGAAGGAGAAGCTCAAAGTTTGTGCCTCCCAAATCCCGACTGCAGACTGGGGCATCTTTTCTGTATTCATAGCCCCTCTTTCCATTTGCGTGTCCGTATCCACTGTGCTTGACTTCCTCCCTGCCCAGGAGCCTCCTTCTCTCCATATGCCATCCCCAGCCCTGGTTGCTTCTCTTAGCCCACTCTTTCAAACCTCCTCTTATCTTTGTTACTTCTCTAGCTTGTCAGTCAGTACCCAGCTGACAGCCCCTCAACCTTCAGTGAATTCACCCTACTATGCTTAATCGCTGTCAAAGTAAAAACAAAAATTTAAGAAGCATTTTGTCAGGTCGACATGATCATGAAATTGGCTGATCTTTCTCCCCCAAGATGGACAAGGCTGCCTCTTCTGTGTAGTGTTGCTATGAGATGTAAAGGACTGCAGCCTCCAGCTCTGTCTCAAAGCTCACTTAAACCTATCTATCACCTTCCTCGATAACTTCCTGTGCCACACAGGAGAAACAGCCACTTGTCTTTTGTGACTCCTGTCCCTAGTCTTGTCTTTGTATCTTGAACTTGCGTTGTCTGTTTCTCTAGTATGACGCCCCTATAGCATATTCAGAGTTCTGTATCCCCACGCTTATGTTTATTTTTCATCATTTGTCATGCTGCCTAGAATGAAATCTCAGTGTTGACGACTTTATCCCCAGTGCTCAGACAATGCCTGATGTTCAAGGAACTGATGAGTTAGTTGTGGCTCAGGCCAAGGATTTCCCTTTTTTCACTCTTTCTTTCTTTTTTTCTTTTTTGGTTTTTCGAGACAGGGTTTCTTTGTGTAGCTTTTCGCCTTTCTTGGAACTCACTTGGTAGACCAGGCTGGCCTCGAACTCACAGAGATCCACCTGCCTCTGCCTCCCGAGTGCTGGGATTAAAGGCACGCGCCACCACCGCCCAGCTTCTCTCACTCTTTCTAAGAGAGAGTGTCTTGGAGGCCAGATCAGAAGCAAGCATTTGGGGCAGGTGTGGGAAGCTGCTCCCAGGGTGAAGTCACTGACATTGGTCAGTAGCAAGAGCACTGAAGGAGTTTGGTTCCTCTTGTGTTGCTTCCTCTGGGATTCAGAGATGACTGGACCAATCTTCTTGTCTGTGTTTTCATTTATGAGTATCAGATTTCCAGAGAACTAACACTGTGGCCTCATATAATTACTTTTTTCTGATTTGATTTTCTTTCTGAACATTTATCTGAAAGATAAATGGATATGCATTTGTTGTTAGGGGAGAGATAATGGCTGGTGTGTAAGCATGTTTGGGTATAGAATATCTGAAGGGCAGTCACCATGTGAGGGAGGAACTTCATATTCAGTTCCTCTCATTTATTAGAGAAGATTATTAGCACCTTGCCTTGTGGTATCGAAGAACAGTATTGTGTATCTGTATGATTCCTGATGGGATGTAAGCCTCCCAGTTAGGAGAGTAGTGAGTTACTATAACCCATATTTATAGATATAGACAAATTATGCTCCTTCTCTACAATGACCCTGCTAAAATATTGCAAGTTATTTTAAACAATTGGAAAACAATATTCTAATACACTGATCTAAGCTATCATTGCATTTAATGATTCAACAATAAAAAAGGCAACAAAATTTTTTCCTTTATGTTTATTTATTTAGTGTGTGTGCCCAGAAAAAATGTCTTATAATAGCTTTTCAAGTATCACTTTGAGCATAGTGATTCGTTTATCAAGGCCCGATATGGCCAGTGTATTGTAAACACAAAGATTAAGATTTTCTTCAACAGAGGTACAAATGAGATGATGTGAGGGAAATAAAGAAAAATGAAGCTTATTCTCAATCTCCTATCCATCCTGCATCCTCACTCAGTAATTCATAATTACTATGAGTTTCTTATTGTCAATCACTTTATTCAGATGAAACATCCATTTTAAAAGTATCATCTAACACACTTATGATTCAAATCCTGGTGCTCTGATTCCAAGAGTGGTGTTCCCCTAGCTTCTATGCTGTGTGAAGTCTTGCAGCTGATGCAGTACATAGACTTGCAGCATTGGGAGGGCTGGGTGTGCCCAAAGACAGAAACTCCTACCCGTGGTACCTCCACAAGAAATGATCTCTAAAAAATGGCTTGGGATTCATCATGGGGTGACTGAGAATTTGCTATTCTGGATTGAGATGAGAAGAACCTGGGAATAGCACAGAGATGGGAATGAGCTTGGTCTGTTCTGGAAACAGAGTGATCCTAATAATACTAGGAGCAAAAGAAGAATACACGAGACCATGGCTGTGCAGACAGGAGGAAGTGCCTCATGTGCTGTGCTTTGTGATTTTACCCTGTAGATTCCTGGCTTCCACTTTGTATTCTTTGGAAGTCTGTTCTCAAAGTTGTCTCACCACTGTCTCCTCTGGCAGCCAGTCCTTTCGACTCTCGCCACACCCCTGCATTGCCTGTTTTGTTAGTTTCAGTTTTATATGTGGAGAGAAGCTGGAAAAACACGCACCTTGGAATCAGAACACTTGTATCCAAGTCCTTGATATGTCATTCACATGTTTTGAACCTTTTTACAAAAGCCAATCTGTAAAATGAGCTTAGAAATAGAAAATGTAAAAGCTACTGTACTGTGGCAATATGAATACATTTGCTGAGGGAAGGTCTCAGAAATATGAGTTCTATTCTAACATGTCATTAATTCTTAATCTGTAACTATTTGGGTTGTCTGGCAGGAAGAGTCATAGAAGGTAACAATCTGGGCCTTGTACCCACCCTCTGCTCTATTCAGAGCAATTGTTATACCTTTATCTGATTTACACATGTGATTTAACAGGATCATGATGCTTAGAAACGAGACCAGAGATAACTGGCCATCCCTCACTATCCAAGCAAGAGGGTGGGGGGAGGGGTATTACCAGATTTACATTTTAGAATGATTACCAGGGTCTCCATTTGGATGCTTAAAGCTGGGGTATGTAGTAAACAGGCAGTCTGCAGGTTTGATGTGAGACAGAGCTAGGCTTGAGAAGAACTCTTTACTAATGAGCTTGTGGGAGAAAGGGATTAGTTGTAGGATGGATGGAGAGTCTCTGCTTGGTCAAGGCCTGCCTGGCCACAGCTGGTCCATTCCCCTGCTCTACTCTTATCTGCCTATGTACTTCCTCACCACCTTGCCTGCCTAAGGATTCAGGAATGTTATGGATTCCTATCTGGCTTGGGTGTTCACTCTAATGGAAGGGTGGGGTACCAGCCTGGCCAGCATCTGCGTGCATGAGATTCTTATCAACCTAATCCCTAAGTGATGAAAGAGCAGAAACCAAGGATCATCCTTTAGCCTGAGTGGTCGGGTCAGCCTTTGAAATTTCTAGCCTCCTACAGGCTAGAAGAACAGGAATCACATGTGGGGGGTTCACTGTGCTTCACTTTGGCACAATAGTAATAAACTGTATTCAAAGCCCAGGGCCCATGGGTCTCATCGTAAGTAGAAGAAGGGACAACATTTATTCAGCATAATTAATGATCATTGCTTTTATGAAGTGGCCTTAAAATCCAGTCACATTACTCTACTCTTATTACTTGGGTTAAAGACATAGGTCCATATATTTATAATGTGTGTTTATATAATGGTAGCTATGTATAATTATATATAATGGTAGTTAAAAAATTACTGTGAGACAGCCAAACACTAGGTGGAGCCAGGGAAAACCCACAGAAGAGAAGGAGGAGGGATTATAGGAGTCAGAGGGGTCAAGGACACCATGAGAACAATCTGGGCCTTGTACCCACCCTCTGCTCTATTCAGAGCAATTAATTATACTATTTGAATTAATTATAATTATAATTAATCAATTAATTATACTATTGAATCAACTTAACAGGGCTCATAGGGGCTGACAGAGACTGAAGCAACAATCATGGGCCCTGTATGGGTCTGAGCTAGGCCCTCTGAATATACATTATGGTTGTGTATTTTGTTGATCCTGTGGGACTCCTAACAGTGGAAGTGTGGTCTGTGTCTCTGACTCTTTTGCCTATTCTTGGGACCCTTTTCTTCCTAGTGGGCAGCCTCATTTGGCCTTGATAAGAGGGTATGTGCCTAGTCTTATTGTTACTTGTTAAGCCATATTCCATTGATATCCCTGGGAGGCCTGATTTGTTTTTAAGGGAAACGGAGGAAGAGTGAATTTTGGGGAGAAGGGAGGTGGGGAGGTGACAGAAGTGGAGGGACGGGGGAAAGTGCAGTTGGGATGTTATTTATGAGAGAAGAATTTTAAAAAGTGTGAGAAAAACACAACACAATACAATGAAACAAAACACCCACAACTATATAGTGTACAACATTCTGCAGGTGATCTGTAAGGCATACTTACAGTTATAGAATTGATTTATAGATGATTTAGGCTTAAATAATTTCTAGCTGCTGAGTTCTACAGGATTTGGGGTTCTACACCAGTGTTATATCCCCCTGCCACTCCCACTAGGATGGAGTAGTAGGCCGTCTCTGGAACTCAAGCCTAGTCCAGACACTGACTGTCTAAATGCAAGCATGAGCCTAGACTGGAAACTGGATGCTACTTGCCTCCTTGGGTCCTTAGTGCCAAATGAGTGTTGCTGTTTGTCTCTTGATTGCTGAGATAATTTTAAGAGTTCTGTGCTTGGAGCTGCCCTAGGTCAAAAAGGATCTATGTGGCTTCTGGTCTGTCATCTCCGTAGGAACAGCTGTGCTGTCCCTTCTTTGTGACAAATGTGATGATCCACTCTCTAGACCTTGACTTCTACACTGACATAGAGTCGACCTTAGTGAGGAGGCAATAGCTAAAATGTACTATTAGAAAATAGATGTCACCACCAAATGGTGCTTGTTAGTCCTAAGACAGGAAGGGATGAGGAGACTTCATTCTGCTTATGTTTTTCTTCCAGGCACAGATCCCAAGAAACATTTCTACATTTTTCAAGAAAAGACACTCCACAGTCTAGAACATAAGGGCATTCTTATTCCCATGCAACCTCATCCTTCTGCTGGAATAAAAAGGTGAGTCTCTCCCACTTGGGTGAGCAGATCACTGCCTCCATCCCCCTCTTTTTTGAAGATTGCCATACTGATAAAGTCCCTGGCTCATTATAACCCTTCAGTCATGACCTCACCATTGTTATCTTATGTACTGGACCAAAAGACCCAGTCTCAAAAAAGATATCCTACAGTGAGCAGGTCTTAAGAGGAAGATAAGGGAGACAATTCATTTGCCATTTCCCCCTCCTCAAAATTTATTTCCAGTTAGAAAAGCAATGTTACCTTGAACTAGCAGAGCCAGACTCTATACTCTGAAGAGAGCAAGGAAAAAAAAAAACAACAACCAACCAACCAACAAACAAACAAAAACAAAGAGAGTGAGGAAGGTATTACAAAGCCACAGGCATGTTGCTTGGGTCTTGAGAGGACCATTTCCCTCCCTGTGGCATTAGTAGTCTCTGTCCTGTCATTCCAAGCTTGTATTTATATTCTAGGACATGGTGGTTCAAGCAAGGAGAGCCTCCCACATCCTCACCTATTTATATATGCACCTGTATTCAACATATTTTATTTTCCTCTCCTAACACTGCTGAGCTGGGTTTGTTGCTTGTGGAAAAACAGAATATTGCAAAGTTTGAAACTGAATATGTATCAGCTTCTAGGATCCAGGGCAGTAGGGCCAATCCAGCAAGGAACAGCACAGAGTAGGGAAGCTGTGCTTTCGGAATCCATTCTGATTCAGGAACAGATCAGGAATTCCACATCTGATTGCTCATGAGCCACAGGAGGAAGTCATTTCAAAATGGAGATCCCTCATCCCCAACTAAGACCTACTAGATTATAACCTCCAAGGAGTCATACTTAAGTATATGCATTCTTAAAATACTTTCTGGGTAATTCTGCCAGATTTGAAAAGTCTCAAAGTGTTCCTTGAACAGAGATGTAGCCAGCCAGCCCTTAGAACATTCTGATGCCACCTATTACCTTCCTCTGAGCTCCTTCAGAAAATTTCATAGGTAGCTGAACTATGTACAAAGTTCAGGCCTCTTCCAAAAACCACTCACCCCTGGAGAGGCTTTAGCCAATGTTAAGTGTCATTGTCTTATCAAGTTCTTATGCCTAGCAATGAGCTTTGCTTCCTTGATGGAAATGCTCTCACTTAGAGAACTCATTATGCCATTAAGGAAGCCCATTTCTTTTAAGGTTTTCTTCATTTGGGATTTTTTCCCCCTAGCAAATGTCTATGATTAGATACTAAAGAATTCTAACAATGTCTTTAAAATGCAGTTTTTAAATGTAGTTCATTCTTACCAAGATTTATGAACTGAGCTAGTCATAAATAAAGTATCTTACTTGGTTTGGTTATGTGTTTCTATGTTTACAAATGAGAGCTGAAGTCATCCACACAAAGAGGTAATATTAATGCAAAGAGTTCAAATATAAGCAGGATCAATACTAAACTCAAGATCAACTGATTATCAACCCAGCATTCACACTTGAGACTGGATAAAGAGGCAGAGTGAGCACAGAGTTGAGTTCCTGCTCACAACACACCAGCTGTCTAATGTCTGCAATCAGATCATTTTGCCTCAAATCCCAGCTCCATCTCCTATTAACTGTGGAACATAAGATTTCACATGACCTCTTGCTTTGGTTACTGATTCACAAAGCAATGATGACAATTATTTCTGTTCTGTAGAGCTGCTGTGGGAATTGTCAGCAGCATGTGCACAGTGCTTGGAAATGTTCTTGCTATATTGCTGTTCTTGCTATCATCATCATCATCATCATCATCATCATCATCATCATCATCACGACCAACTGGCTTTGAACTTGTAATCCTCTTGCCTCAAATCTCTGAGTACTGGGATTATAAATACACACCACCACACTTAGCTTATTTATTACTACCATCATCTGGCTAGTTTAAGGGCCTATCTTTTTTAATTTCTCCAAAGATTTACAAGTACCCAATGTATTTTTTCAATTAAAAACAAATCCAGGGCTCTTTAAAGAAATTACTGAATCAAAATCTAAGACAGAGTCAGAAAGTTGGGATATGCTCAGAAATGAACTAATGGTGTTATATGAAAAGAGCGGGAAAAGAGCAAGTATTTCCATGCTAGAACAATATGTTGTTCTTATGAACTGTTAAAATTTTGTATATGGGGCATTTGAGTATTCGTTTATTCTAATCATCAAATACCCATTATATGTCTTTATTATTTACTACCTGTTTTTAAAACATCTATACAATTGTATGGCTAAGTGAAACTAACTAACATGCATTGCCTCACATAGTTAACATTGTGTTATGGTGTGAGCACTTCAAGTCATCTGTCTGTCTTCTATCAGTCTGTCTGTCTGCCTGTCCGTCTGTCCATCTATCCATCTCTCTGCCTATCATGAGACAGGGTTTCTTTGTGTAATAGTTCTGGCTGTCCTGAAACTCATTCTGTAGACCAGGCTGGCCTTGAACTCACAGAATCCACCTGCCCCCGCCTCCCTGGAATTAAAGGCATTTGCCACCACTGCCTGGCAGCAGGTACCCTGTACTTTCAACATTAAAATGAAGCCATATTATGGCCACACTGAAAAGACACTTATAATTTAGGCATTTCTTATGAATGCACACATTTTTTTAAAAAAAACTATGAAGCTGGCATAAGTGTTTATGAGGAAAAATGATCATCCAGTCACTGGCTCACTTCCATGTCAGTGTTTTGAAATGAATTTGATGCAGTCAAAGCAGTGTGTGTATGATGGTGTGTAAACAATGTGACCAGAGCAAGGAATCTCAGGATTGTCTAGGAAACATGAATAGGCTGAACTCTTAGAAACCATTCTTGTTAAAATTAGCTTCTGCCACACTTTATTCCATTGTTATTTGGTAAATGTCTGTCTTCAATGAGGATCAGAAATAAATTTTAGGAAAACAAATTATTGATACGTTTCATATGGGGGATTCTGTTCAGAACCATTTACAAATGTGTTGACTATTTAAAATCAATATTTAGAAATCTACTAACCAAGACATTCAGACACCGACACATCATCACTCATAGGAAACTACTGTTCACAGATGAAGTTATTTTTCTTCAGTCAAAATGAGGAAGTATCTAGCTTTTAAAAATATAGGTTTATGACAATCCAATTATTTAGATACTTGTCAACTCTTCCAGGAATTGCTCCTTTTTATGACTTTTTCCTACAATGGCTATAGCAGTCCTTTAACAAAAGACCTGGTCTTGCTACTGAACAGAAGAAATCCCTCTTCCTAAAATATGATTTTCCTAAAATCTCTCAAAAATTTTCCTAAAAGTCTCTCAAAAATCAGTCAGAAATTTCTATAATTCTACAATTTCAACTCTAAACGTGTATTCTAATAAAATTGAATAATCACCAGTGAGAATGTTCATTATACTTTGTCTCGACATCAAAATGGTGGAAACAGGGTAAATGTCCAACATTAGGAAAGTAGTATGGTGTGTTAGTGCCATGTGTCATGTGCTGGCCAGTACTTGTCCATATGCAGGGTGCTGACAATTACTCTTTTACTGTTGATTTTTAATTAGTTTTGTTTATTGATTTATTTTAAAGATTCATTTTATGTATGTGGGTGCTTAGTGTGACTAAATATATACTACATGCATACCTGATTCTGGCAGAGGTTGAAAGAGGGGGTCAGATTCACTGGAACTGTAGTTCCAATTGGTTGTGAGTCACCCTGTGTATGCCCAGAATCAAATCTGGTTCTCTACTAGAGCAGCCAGTGCTCTGAATCACTGAACCATTTCTCCAGTCCATATTTCCTTATTTTTTAAATTTTATTTTTTATTTTTATGTATGTGTAGATGTGTGTTGCGTGTGTTTGCCATGCATGTGCAGATGCTGGAGGAACCTGAACAAGGTGTCACATCCCCAGGGCTGGAGTTACTGATGTGGGTGCCAGGAACAGAACTTAGTCCTTTGAAAGAGTGGCAAGAGCTCCTGGCTACTCAGTTTGACAATATATACTTTAGAATATTATAAAATGATCCCATTGTGTTATTTTTATATATAGATAAGAAGTTACTAGTCATGATTGTTTTGAGAATGATTCTGTTTGTCTTAATCATCTTCTTTATGCTTATCAGCGTTAGAAATTCTTCTTTCTTTTTATTCTTTTTTTCCCCCAGTATTATGGGTTTAGCACAGCTCTTCACCCATGCCTGTCTAATGCTCTACGGATTCTCCTTTTCTCCCATATTAACAAATCTTTTGTTGGAAAAGATTTGCATTGTCTCCTATTACGTATGTAGTAACAATTACACATACATAATTACATGTAATTATGACACATATGTGCATTTGGGTATAGGTCACAACAAAGGTAAAATCAGGTCCCAGCGTCATGGGGATGACTGTAAAAATGAACATCCTATAGATTGGAAATGATGTGCTATGTTTTTTAAATTGTCAGTAAAATATATTGGGCTAGATACTCAAGAAATGCCCATCTATGAAAACTCTTCACATGGAGTTTGTATTGAAATGAGATGTAGCTGAAGCTGAGGCTGCCTCCAGACCTTATCATGTATATCAGGCTTCCTTAAAACCCATGCTAGTAGGTCCAAGGCTTGGGCCCAGACTTTCTCCAGAAGAACAATACTTTAATAGTTGGAATTTTATTCCTTAAATTCAGTAAACTCAGCTGGTGGGTTTAACATAGTCTTTAATTTTAATGGAGCTCCAGCCACATTGAAGCTCACACTGTTGACAAGGGTCCCCTTTGCCTTACGATGGCTTCTGCTGGATCCTTCCTGTGGAAGGTGCTTCCATCCACACCCCAGGACCAAAGTCAGCCTACTTTTAAAGGACGTTTGAAAACTTCCTACCCCAGGAAGCCTGTTCTCTTCAAGCCCCAAAAGGCTCTTCCCTTTTCTTGTCTTTCAGTCTAAGAACTACAAACAACAGTTAATTCACACCATCAAAAATTTAGAACATGGTGCTCACTGGCACTCACTGCTCCCCTTGATGTTTTCTACATTTTCTTTCTTTAAATTCAATTCTGTTGTTATTTATTTATTTTTATTTTTGAGATCACAATTTAATTACAATGTTTCTCCCTTCTTTTTCCTCCCTCTAAAGTATAAAATCTAAACCCTTTCATAGATCCCTCCCTTCCACACTCTCTTTCAAATTCATGGCCTCACTTTTCATTGTGTGTATGTGTGTGTGTGTGTGTGTGTGTGTGTGTGTGTGTGTGTGTGTTTCTAAATATAACCTGTTGTTTTTACATTCTTTTGAACACATTTGAGAGATAGAAATGAGTAATTTAATAAGCATTAATTTCATTAGTTCATGTAATTTAAACTGTAATATACTTACTTCTTCTACTGGATCATAGCATTTCCTAGTAGAAGGTAAAATCTCCCACTTCTATCTTTAAACACAGAGGCCAGCACTCAATGTTCAACATGGATGTATTGTTATGAAGCTACAGAGAGCTGAAACACAGATTCCCAGAAACCTGTCCCTGAGAGAAGAACCCACTTGAGAGGCCTCTGTGCCTCTGACCAGGGTCTCAACGACACACAGAAGTCACAACCATGCACCACGAGCAATTTTATTATTGTTGAACTGAAAGGGTGGGCAGGAGAAGTAGGAAGAGATGGGGAAGTAGGGGAAGGCCTGGACTTCCTGATGGAGTTCATAGTTTGGGTGAGGAGAAGGTTGCTACAGACCTGTACCCGGTCACTTAGCACTCTTCCTCTTTGCAGGGATAAGTGGTACCACCTCTGAGGCAGCGGGGCTGTGGGTGGTGGATTTTCTTGCGTCCAGCAGTGTTCTGAAGCTCTGGCCTTTGAGAGTGGGAAGAACAGCTTCTTGCTGAACAAGAAATCCCACAAGAAGTTGAGCAGGTCGTCAGACAGGGGGCTGGGCATTGGGGAGGTGAACATTTGGGAGCATTTGGGAGCTCCTGAGGCTGTTGCTTCTGCTGTGACATTGCTCGCTCAGCTAATGCTTCAAATCTGCAAGAAAGAGAACACACTGTTATATCAGAGACTAGGAAGCACAGGCCAGTTTTCTCAGGTGCTGAGACTACGATCATTGGAGCCAGCATTAACAACTCAGAGAAGCCTATCCCAAGAGGAAGAACAGTGGATTCTAAAGGGTTGGACTCATCGGGCGTAAATTCTGGTGAGAATTTCTAAGAACTTGTCAATAATCAAGTTAATATCTCATCCCCCTCCTATAAAAGGAAAGTAAAATTTAACTTGTTGAACTAACAGGACACTTTTTCCAAGGCTGATGTCTTCCATCTTCAAGGGTAAAGAACAACCACATGTCTGTCCTTTTGCTACTTGGTTCCTGACCTCAGTTTTCTAAGCCTATACGGTGTCTCTACTGTTTTTCTGCTCTCTGGCCTCCATTGGTTTGTCCCATGTTAGATCATTTCAGAGTTCTTGGCATGGATTTCTAGCTTTTCCCTTTTCCCTGCTACTAATCTTTCCTACTTGGTTTATTAATTTGCCGGGGGAGACACTAGAGAATGCCAAGACTTCCTTAGCAAAGTGTGAGTGAGTGACATCCAAGTGTCTGTTCACCCAAAAGCAGCCTTACCTTCAAGGAAGATGAGTAGACAAGTCACCCCAGGAGGAGCCTGAGGTTTTGTGGGACCAGGACTGAAGGTGCTTTTTTATACATCCTCCAGTTGAAGCCTCCGGGCTACTTGTTATTGGAGGGCAGTCATGGAGTGGATGATCTATCCAGGTGTTTCATAATTCCCAGGGCAGGATTTCTCATCTGTCTACACCTGGGATGAATTTCAAAAGGAATTCTGTGTAAGCAAGTGATGAAAAGGCTGAGGGCTTAGGCTGGCTTGTATAGAAGTGAGTACACCACACAAATCCTATGAGATGAGACAGGATGGGAGACTAGAAAAGGACTTCTTCTGCATTTAGTTTAGGATGTAAGGGAAGATCACCTTTAATCTGTGACCAGAGTCTGAGGAAGACCCTGCTTGTATCCTGGTACCTATGACTGAACATCCAGCTCAGCACCATGCTCTCCATGGGACTTACCTAGTTTTATAGTCACATCAGAGTCCCAGGTCCTCTGAACTCAGATCTACAGCTGTCCCAAGTCATAGTGACCTAGATACATATCTTATCTCCTCTAGTAAACTGAATGACAGATCCTTGTCATTATCACTTCTGCATTCCTAGAGCCTGATGCTATTTCCAACATATGCCAAAAATGCTCATTAATGTTTGATGAAGAGCTCAATTTACTCTATTTTAGAGCAGAGCTTGTGTCCCAGGGGAAAAAAGCAGGGAAATAAGACCCAGCTCATTTCTCTTTATAGTTAGATTTTTTTATTTTTATTTTTATTCCCTTTTTGTGAGCACTCTTTCCAAATCTGTGGGTGGACTTTGCCTGGCACAACAGACTGAGAGTAGGGAGGAGAGAAAACATTCATAAATGCCCATCTTTAAATACAATTGAGGATCTGTGTGTTGATCAAGACACTCCATGGAAAAGTTTTTTACAAAGCAAAAGTTTTTCTTCATCTTTTATGAAAATTGATATTATCCCATACTTTCCTTGTTAGAGTGAAAATCTTTTCATCTAAATATTGTTTCTCACTTCCAAGTGTTTCCATCTGGGAATCACTGTTGATGTGCACATTTCATTAAAAAGTGATGATGATCTTGGCAGTGTGGGGCAGGCCTTGCTGCCTCTACCCATCCCTAAAAACATACTATAATGTAGAAACAACTGACTAAGTGAGAAAAGATGAAATTTGATTGTAGGAGCAGTCCTCAAAGACCCCAAATCAGACTGGAGACAAAGGTGGACATGATTGGGATACAGGATAAGGAATAAGGGTCCTAACCAGGGTAGAAAACAGAACAAAATAAAAAAGAATTGCTTATGGAGGGCTAAACCCAGGGATAAACTCATCCTTTACCTCTGAGAAGGTTTGAGGATGTAGAATGGACGAAGGGAATTTAAAATACTTGTGAAAACACAGCAGGTAGGAGAATGGTCTGATCTATGTCATCCCATAAAGAGAGGGCCCTAGAAAGAGTGCATCTAATTGGCATGATCTCAGTGATTAAAGAACATCTTCCTTCACTTGTGTGCCTCTCTTCCCTCTCACCCTCTTAGGCACCAGACAAGCCTCTGGCTGCTCCTTGGCATGCTTCCTGTGCACTGAACCGTAGTGGGAAGGCAGCATGAGAGTGATCCCAACGTATTGCTCTTCCTTTTCCCCAACCCAGACCTGCAGCATGTAATTCCCCACTATGGAGACTTCACACGCCACAAAAGCATTTATTTGAGCTTCACCAACAATTCATTGTTTATAGGCCTCATACAAGGACTATGAATTTTTTTTCCCTCTGGGGTTTCTGCCAAGAGTATTTCTGCCCAGGATGAATTAAGTATACATGACTATTTCATGTATTTTCCATCCTGTGCATTATAGTAGAAACCACCCAAAGGAATCTCTAAGTGCAGTCAGTTTTATCATAGTGAGTCTTATCAACATGTAGGGTACTGTGGGGATTGATTCTAGAAGGGCTTGCACTTGCAGTAGAGGATGTTGATCTAGGTTTGCCTTGTCACTAGGGAGCCTCCTCAGGTTGTTCTCTCTTCAAATGAACTTACACATCTCGCCACTTGCACATCAGGACCCCAAAAATTTGTTCTTAAATTTCAACTCCTCCTCTCATTCTGGTTCAGGTATTTAAGAGTAGAATTTTATAGTTTGATAGTAATAAAATACCTACTATAAACATGATGCAAGAAAGCACAGACCCCTACCTCATGCTTTAAAGAGTTCTCCTAGAAAGAGAAGTGTAGCTAGAGTTTTCCAGTCCTGCCTGGCCCATGGTCAGGACAAATCTCTTTCACCCACCAGTCCCACAGCCGTTCAGACCCAATCAAGTAAACGCACAGAGACTTATATTGCTTACAAACTATATGGCCATAGCAGGCTTCTTGTTATCTAATTCTTACATCTTAAATTAACCCATCTCTATTAATCTATAAGTTGCCACATGGCTTACTGGTATCTTTTACATGTTGCTTGTCATGGCGGCGGCTGACAGTGTCTCTCCACTTCAGCCTTCCTGTTCCCAGAATTCTCTTCTCTGCTTGTCCCGCCTATACTTCCTGCCTGGCTACTGGCCAATCAGTGTTTTATTTATACAGAGCACTACCTGTTAGTTAACTGGCCGTGTTTTGTGCTCTTACCCTGCAAGAAAATGTCACAAAACAGGACAGAATCTGCTAATAAGAGTTTTATTAAAGATAAAGGGACAGAGAGTGCGAAGGCCTGTGGGAGAGACGTGTGTGGAGAAGAAGGATGAACTGGGAACATGGTGCTGGCTTTTAAAAGCTGGACATGCCCAGGTCATGTCACTACTCCACACATGTACATAGATCACATGGCTACATTGCACACCTATGTAGCTATGCAACGTCACGGATCCTGGTCACGCGAGACGCCTTGGCCTGAAAATGGCTATCTTGACCTGGAACTGGCTAGGCGGAAGTGTCCAGGTCTGCCAGGCATCCTGGTTATAAGAGACGCCCTGACTCTGAAATGGCTATCCTGACCTGGAACTGGCTAGGCAGAAGTGTCCGCTGGGCATATACACATGCCGTGGGGGCGTGTTGTGAACCCTTCAACATCCACAGCAGAGAAGGGATGTATTAGGAAGTGACACCAGATGGTACTGAAAGGGGAGAGGGGAAGCAAAGCAGCAGGCAAGTGCTGCTTGGATTTGAGAGTGTGATTAATTATCACAAGTGTACCTAGTTAGGAAGGTGGTGTCTGGAGAGGTGGCTCTCATCACAGAGCCTAGTCTGCAGACAGGATCCCACCCAAAGAAGTATCTCTTCTCATTCCTACCCATTCCTTGAGACCATCAAATTTTCCTGAGCAATAAACGGCTACAGATTCTGAGCCTCAAATGAAGTTTCTCTGAATCTTACTGCTGTATTTTTCTCTTTTCTTTTTTTCTGGTTCCCTGAATATTTTACATATTCCAGAAGTAACATCCCAGGTGTATTTTAAATGTCTTTTTTATCTTGCTTTGTTTTTCCATCCATTGTGATCCCCATACTGTAGCTTCAAGCCCCTGTCCCTGGTGCTTTATTTCACTATATCTCATATGCTGAGTAAGTGGATTTAAGAAAGCCCACACAGTGAGCCATCTATTTCAGAATAAATCTTGCTCATGTTTTCTTAGGAAGAAGAGCCAAGTGATTTTCTGGACCTGTATTTTCCCTCCAGGTGGTATTGTGTTCAAGCCACCAATGATCGTGGTTTCCCTTTTAGTGGGAAAAAGCAAGTTTTTAATAATCCTACAACATCATGAGGATTGTTTTTAATACAATGTTTTTATTGATTCTTGAGAATTTCTTACATTCATACAGTGATAATATTTACTCCTCATCCCTTCTAAATCCTCCCCGATCCATCCTCAACATTCACCTTCCCTACCCTCCCAAATTCATGCTCTCTCTGTCTCTCTGTCTCTCTCTCTCTCTCTGTCTCTCTCTCTCTGTGTGTCTCTCTCTCTCTCTCTCTCTCTCTCTCTCTCTCTCTCTCTCTCTCATAACCTACCAAGTTAAAAAAAAGGTGATGGGTGTTGGTGTCACATACCTTTAATCTCAGCATTCAGGAGGCAGAGACAGGTGGCAGATCTCTGTGACTTTGAGGCCAGCCTGGTCTACAGAGTGAGTTCCAGGACAGGCTCCAAAGCTACACAGAGAAACCCTGTCTCAAAACAACAACAATGACAACAACCCCCCCCCACCGAAAAGCAATCAACAAAGTCTGAGGGGCCAAAAGAACCAGTATATACAGTGACTGTAATATAATATAATATAATATGATATGATATAATAATATAATATAATACAACACAATATATAATATAATATAATACAACACAGTATATAATATAATATAATATAATATAATATAAT